GGGCCCAAAATCCCAATCAAATGGGGCCCTGTTTAGTTCATTTTCTTGTCAATTTGACCGACGCCGTGTCTCTTTGTACTCATTTAAAGTCTTTATAGTTTTGGTACTACTAACTTTTAACATTCTATGTATATCTTCACAAAATCTGGCAGTCTTTCAGTAAACATTACAAGTCTTTCACATTAAAAAATCATATTTTTAGTGAAGTATTTTTAATAAACTTAAAAAAGATTTGTCCATGAATATATCGAGTTGTTGTTGTTGTTGTCTTTTTTACTAGTCCGCGTGCAAAGTAATTTTCACGTGAAGAAGTTGGTGGCAACCCTAATTTTCTATCTAAGCGACTACAGAGAAGAAAAAGACAGTAGGATGAAACTCCTTGTGACCCAGAACAGCACTTCAAAGTTATATTAACTCAGAACAGCACTTCAGAGTTATATTAACCCAGAATAGCAATTGCACTTCATAGTTATATTAACCCAGAACAGAACTTCAGAGTTATATTAACCCTGAACAGCACTTCAAAGTTATATTAACCCAGAACAGCACTTCAGAGTTATATTAACCCAGAACAGCACTTCAAAGTTATATTAACCCAGAACAGCACTTCAAAATTATATTAACCCAGAACAACACTTCAGAGTTATATTAACCCAGAACAGCACTTCAGAGTTATATTAACCCAGAACAGCACTTCAAAGTTATATTAACCCAGAACAACACTTCAGAGTTATATTAACCCAGAACAACACTTCAGAGTTATATTAACCCTGAACAGCACTTCAAAGTTATATTAACCCAGAACAACACTTCAGAGTTATATTCTTCAATACACTAGTTGATAACATACAGATGCAACTTCAAGAGCGATTTAGTAATATTCCCAAAATAATGGATCGCTTCAAATTCCTTCAGTATTTAATAGAACAAAACAGCTCCGATTAAAACTTAGAGCAAGCAGCAAAGGATTTTCAATTTTCATTCAAAGACATCTGTCCTGAAATCATAGACGAGTTAAAAATTCTAAAAAAAAAAATAACATTCTGAAATCCAAACCATAAAGTTATTGAGGTTTTGGATGAATTGCGGATATGATGCAGTTTTTCCAAACGTTGTTGAAGCTCTCAGAGTTTTCCTAATTTTGCCAGTTACATTGGCTAGTGATGAATGCTACTTCCGTAAAGTGAAGTTAATAAAATCATATTTGCGATCAACAATGAGTCGTGACTGACTCAATAGCTTGTCTGTCTGTCAGTTGAGATAGAGGAAGCAAGATCCTGTAATTTTGAAAACCTCATAAAAGAGTTGGCCAGTGATAATGGAAGAAAATTTAATTTTACTTGAACTAAAATTTTGTAAGTACATTTTCTTTTTCGTTGTTATAGTTGCATCTGCTTCCATTTTTTTTTATGTTTGAAAACTAGGTAGGTCATTACTAAAATTGGGTTTCGCGTGCATCATGCATGGTTATATTTCTTTGTCTCAAATCTCCCTCTCTCTCTCTCATGCATATATATATATATATATAGCTTCATGTACATTTTATCAGGGGGCTCACCATTAATTCTTGCACCCGAGCCCCCCTATACTCTAAGACCGGCCGCGGTCCTACAGTGATTTAACCTACAAACAACGTATTTCATTTTAAAGGGCTCAATATGATAAGCAACGTATTGTATTTGTGTCTCGAGCTACGTGTATTAACATATAACTTGCGTTTGTTCGTTCGTAATTTAACACAAAGCTACACGATGGGCTATCTGTGCTGTGGTTTGGTTTGTTTTAAATTTCGCGCAAAGCTACACGAGGGCTATCTGCGCTAGCCGTCCCTAATTTAGCAGTGAAAGACTAGAGGGAAGACAGCTAGTCATCGCCATCCATCGTCAAATTTGTAATTATGCACAAAGCTACACAATGGGCTATTTGTGCTCTGCCCACTACGGGTATCGAAACCCGGTTTCTAGCGTGGTAAGTCAGCAGACATGCCGCTGTGCCACTGGGGGGGGGGGCAATTGCCAACTATTGGGCTACTCATTTACCAATGAATAGTGAGATTGACCGTCACATTATAACGCTCCCACAGCTGACAGGGCGAGCATGTTTCGTGGGACTGGGTTTCGAACCCGCGACCCTCAGATTGCGAGTCAATCACCCTAACCACCTGGCCATGCCGGGCCCGGTGCTGTGCCTATCACGGATAACAAACTCCGATTTTTAGCGTTATAAGCCCTCAGACTTACCCGTTGAGCCACTAGGCGCGGGCATTTTGCTATTCAATGATACCTTAAGAAATTATATTTTTCATAGTTTTGAAATGACATTTTAAATTGGTGCTGTATTCCTATAATATAATGTTTCATTGACTTTAAGTTTTAATTTACACAGGAATCATCTATGGTGGAACATTAGATTTGATACAACGGCCAAACGATTGTTTCAGACTACTGTATAGCAGGTTAGAATGATTATCAACGTTTTAGTGGGTGAGCCTGATCTCACGTCTGCAGATCAAGAAATGACTGGTTCGAATCGGGAAATAGTTTCTTCAAGTTTAATGTTTTACAAAGCAAAATAGTATTTGGAGAATTTTAAGATCATCCAACCACAAATTCTAGTGTTTGTTTTAACATACAGTGAGAAAAGGCTTAAAGATTTGCACTACTTTTTCCTGGTGATAACTAAGCCTAAATAAAGCACTGATAAACGTGTCAGATAAAAATCAGATAATGGAATCACTTAATTAATAATTTTGCGATAAAAATAGATACATCTATATATATAATATAGGCGAATGAAACACGAAAACTTTACTTTTTATGACATCTAAACAGTTTTTTTTGTTTGTTTTGAATTTCGCGTTAGCCGTCTCTAATTTAGCAGTGTAAGACTAAAGGGAAGACAGCGAATCATCACCACCCACCGCCAACTCTTTTACCAACGAATAGTGGAATTTACCGTGACATTATAACGCCCCCACCGCTGAAAGGGCGAGCATTTTGGTGTGACGGGGATTCGACCCTCAGACTGCGAGTCGAGCCCCCTAACGTTAAGGAAGTATAAACTGTATAAAGGACAGCGATAGATAATGTTCCACTTCTTTCTTTTATATTTATTAAATCTCTATTGACCTCATTGATGCTAATCCAGGGGCGTTTTTAATTTCGTGCAATGCACGGACGGGCCCCTCTTACTGCGGGCCACATAATAATATAACAAATAACAGACTGTATGGTGTTTCCTCAAATTTGTTCATATATGTATATATTGATATTTACATATATATTGTTTATGGTAAAACTATTTATTTATTATATTTTAATATGAAAATAGATTCGAAATTTTATAGCTGATCAATGCTAACGCCCCCCCCCCCTTTAGGAAAATCGCACCGAGTATTTTTAAGTCTTAAAAACTCCCCTGTGCTAATCGCATATCGTGCTTTATGGAAAATAATTATTAACTTGTTTGAATGCTTAAGTCTTTAAATTCAAAGCTAGTAGTCCGTAAAATAAAGTGGAAATGAGTCCTACTTCAGGGGAATTTTTATCCTAAAACAATGTTGCCCATATACTGTTTACAGTTACCATTAGAAATGTTACGGTAACCGAACCAGTTGGTGATTTATGTCAACGTACACATACACACACACACGTTGGATCCTCTTTGGTAAGATTCTGTTACTCCTAGGATGCAACATTGAGGTATGACGTCAAATTTTCTAGTTCTTCTATAAGTTTCGTTTGTGACTTAAAAGAGTCAGTGTTTCATTATATATTATTGATTTTATATTTCTAAGACTAAAACTTTTGCCCCAAACTAATCAGTAATCATGTTTTATAAATTTTTACTTTACCGAACTTTCTTTGTGAAGCTTAAATGATCAGATTTCGATGAAACTTTGTGGACATATGTAGAATATTATTCCTCGTTGTCCTGCCCAAAATGGTCAGTATTTGTTGATAACGACGGACACGTTTTCGTTTTTTCAGAGCTGAATATGATCAACCCTGCGTGGTGTAGGTATGCACTCTACTGAGTGCCCCCCTCTAGTTATTATTATTCTTCTCTTGCCAGCCTACAACAAAAACGGCTTTGTATATTGCACCTAACATTTTGTAGAATATTAAGTAAGGTACTGTGAAGGCCGATTTGTTTCTTCTATATTTTACATAAGCTGAAAACATCATAATTCTAGTGTAAACAATGTTATCATTACCCCTTGAAGTTAGCTTTCTTACAAATATATGGTGTTCCTTTGAAAAGCTTAAGTACAGGGTAAAACAGGTATTACCAGCCAATATTAGATGACTAACATGTAGATACTCAATGCTCAGTAGGTGTCTTTAGGGAGACAATCCCTGTATGAAGTGAAGAAGTAAAAAAAAAAAAATACACACATAATATTAGAATTTAGTTTCACACAAACTATTAAGCTCACTATATTCTCAAACAAATCTCCAGCTTAACATTTTACATCTTGAACTAATGCAATCAAATAGTCAATAGCTACAGTTAATCATCATGAACCATATAAGATAGCTACTAGCTATGTTTATTATCATTACCATGTATAAAGTTAGCTACCATATCAAGTAATCCTTGATAAAAACTCGGGAAACAAGATAAATAACAAAAATTGGGAATTTAAAAACCTGCAAATATGGAACATAAAAAACTACGGAAAAAAGGCTGGAGATACTCTTGACATTATTTACTCAAACTATAAACCCCTACTTTGACTCCACCAAATATAATTCTAGGTAACAGCATGGAACTAAAATAGGGGTTTGTTATTTTAGTAGTACTGTCTACAGTATCTCCAGCCTTGTTTCCTTTTTTTTTACGATCATCATTTGCCAGTTATTAAATTACCGGTTTTTATTTATCTTGTGAAATTTATCATTTCCATATTAGTTTAGAAACTGTATTGTTCTACTGATAATGTAGTACAAGCAGAAAAAGTTCATGTGTAGATCTGTAGAAAAAGAGCACAGAGAAAATTTCAATTTGTGTGGGTGCACAAAAACTTTATTGCAATGACTCAAAAATTAAATATTCCCAAGACAATTTTCAACTTTGCATTAACTGTACAGACTGAATTCATAAACAATGCCATTCTTGTGAAAGTGAAAAAAAAATCTTCCAATATTTTCAAACACATTCTTTAAAACATAGCTATTAATGAACGTACATTTAAACATAAACATATATAAAGATTCAAAGCCCAATAAAAAGGATACTAAGTTACTTGATTTCGTTAATAACAAATAAAGTTATGAAACAGTTTAGAAATTACCAAATTAAATTGAAGAAAAAAAACAACAACAAAGTATAAAAACAAAACAGATGTAAACTTATTTAATGGCAGACTGTGAAACTACTATAAGCTTTGCTATTACTTGCACCTATGGAATTTTGCTTAAAGTATGCAAATTGAGTATAATCCTCCTGGAAGGAGGGAAGGATGAAGCAAGTTGTTAAATATCTTCAACAAGGGTGACCAGAAGCTTTCGGTAGTCTCCAGACGTGTCATCCTGCAGATGAACCAGAAAACAACCTTTACCAACAAACCAAAGTAGGCTACACTATTTTAGATCTTAAATTCTAATTGTATAACTTGGGTTCATTCAGTTATAGAATGAGCAATAAATATAATTTTAAAACTGGCAAGAAAATGTGTGTGTGCATGGTTAAATAAAAAAGTTCTAAGTTTGGGGAATTTAACACGGAGTATGTGTAAAAAACAAGAATCATGAAAATTTTGAAGAGTGTTTAAAACTAGACAAGATTTTTGAAACACAAAACTAATTTTTATCAGTTATGTCAATAAAAACTTGCACGCACACACTTACATATTTATATAAATTTGCTTATACATATTTATCCCTCAGTATCTCTACATACATACATATTACATATATACAAAAACTGAGGCTAAAACATTGAATTCATTAAACTTGATTATCATAATGTACGATAAGTGCGGTGTTAATAAACTTGATTGTCATAATGTACGATAAGTGCGGTGTTAATAAACTTGATTGTCATAATGTACGATAAGTATAGTGTTAATAAACTTGATTGTCATAATGTACGATAAGTGCGGTGTTAATAAACTTGATTGTCATAATGTACGATAAGTGCGGTGTTAATAAACTTGATTGTCATAATGTACGATAAGTGCGGTGTTAATAAACTTGATTGTCATAATGTACGATAAGTATAGTGTTAATAAACTTGATTATCATAATGTACGATAAGTATAGTGTTAATAAACTTGATTATCATAATGTACGATAAGTATAGTGTTAATAAACTTGATTATCATAATGTACGATAAGTATAGTGTTAATAAACTTGATTATCATAATGTACGATAAGTATAGTGTTAATAAACTTGATTATCATAATGTACGATAAGTATAGTGTTAATAAACTTGATTATCATTATGTACATAAGTATATGTTAATAAACTTGATTATCATAATGTA